AAAGACGCTGCGTTTCCCAGACTGGCAAGAACAACAAGTGTAAGGCGAATCCTTGGAAATTCATTTGTTGGGGGTATCTTCCATCACTTTGCTGCTGCAGGAAACCGACAGTGACAACACTGGGGTTCCACAGGTGGTGTTCTATGAAGAACTTCCAGACTCCCAGGTGCGAGTGAACAAGATTAGTGCCTACTCTCCCGTGCTCCTCGGCAGGTTCCCTACATGCTCTCCCCCATGTCGACTCGTGAGGTGTGGTCTTCACAGTTACTCACTCACGTCACTCTATTTTGCACATCTCCGGAAAGTAAAATGTTTTCCAGGACCGGCTTGTGAACAGTCCCCTCAGCAAGGCTGCCAATTGTTGAGGGGTCTAAAGGGTACTTAGGGTCTTTGTTCCCATGCCAGGGGTGCCGCATCAACTTGATGGCCACCCAAAAGCTGCTGGAGGCTTTTTATCGCGAGATGTTCAGTACTCGTTCCACTTGTCTTCGGCGCAGGCTCACACAATCCTGGCCAAGACAGGCATAAACCCTGTCCACAAGATGATGGACTTGGCTGCGTCCGTTTTAGATGGAGTTTGCAGGTTGTGTGCACTGAATGCTGGTCATGATATGCCAGTTAGTGAACCTCGTTTCTGATAGGCATGCATGCATTAGATCAAATCTTGATCGCCTTGCAACAGTTTGCGTTTGTAAACGCACTTGGCCCAGCAAAAAAACTATTTCCTTTGTTAGCTTTAGTCCTGCTCATTTTGCCTCCCATGAGTTACACAAGTTGAGATTTGCAATGCATGGCGTGAAACCGTAGCTCTTTTTTGGGACCAGCCACCGGCTCCATTCACCGTGGAACCCTGAAGTCATGAAGAATCTTGCCAAGCAGTTTGCATTGCGCTAGCTACTTTTAACCTTCATCCCAACTCTTCAAACCCAACCGGCGTCCCAGTCAGGAGACCTATGGCATTGCAAGCTGCTATCAAAGCCGTTCTCGGCAAACCACCTGAGAGGAGAGCCGACATGGAAGGGGTGTGTGGGGGTTCCCTGTTGCTTATTGGAGGAAAGTGCAGAAGGACAAGAAGCTGAAGATCAAATATGGGAAACCTATGAAATGCAAGCCAAGGCCAACTACTTTACGTCTTAAAGTTCACAGGTCGGTCAAGTCTCTTGCTCACTGTCACCATGGTCTGGGTTTGCTAGGTACTATCCCAAAACGAATGTGCCGATTGGGGGATCTGAAGCTCCGCATGGACCCGAAGACCTGGATCAGACCTTCCTATGGGCACCTGCATTCTTGCAACGTCTTTTCCAACACTTTGGACGCTCCAAGGTATTGAAGAAGCTCAAGGCGTGGCGATGGGATGTTACCACTGCATTCTCTGGAGTGGGATGTGCTGAGACGGATCTGAACTCAGACCAGTCGAGTCAGTGAAGCAAAACAAAAAGACTTCCTATATTGTCTTTGGCCATATTGACTGAGGCCATATTGTCTTTGCAATCGGCCGTGCTCAAAGAACTCCCACGCACTTGGGCGCCCCGCGCTCGAATCTTGTGGGCCTGCGAGAGAGATGCTGAGTGTCAAAGGGTTCTTTCCGACACGTATGGGGACACATGCGTATTTGGAGATATCATGGAGTTCAACCTCCCTACAAAAAAGCAGCTATGGTGCGTCAAGCATCAACAGATGTGCAGCTGCCATCTGCCCTGTGACCCAAAACGACCCTCAGCCACCCATTAACACTTGGCAAGAGTCAGGAATGTTTTGTACAGCAACCAAACTATGTGCACTGACCTCAGGACTGCGAGTTCAAGTTCTAGGACCTTGGGGGGCTCGGTGGGGTTGGAAACAAATGTAACAACAACAACACACTCCGCAGCTTCAATCCTGATAGGAGCACCATGTCAACCATTTAGCAAGATGGGTCTCCAACGACGTGAACGAGATGTGAAATACCAGGTTCATCGCAAATGGTGGGACCAGGCGCCCGAGATGGGAGATATCCATATTGTGGAAAACGTTACTGAATACGAGCTAGAGGCCTACAAGGACAAATTCCTTGGACGTGAATGGGGATGCAATGTTGCCAGGGTGGATCCCCGATTGTGGGGGTTTTCGACGGCCCGACCGCGTGTGTATGGGATCCTTTTCAACCGGAGTCGAACTGGTTGGGATGAGAACTTCCCATTTGCAGACATCCTGAACTGTCTGCGGGCCCAACCTGTCATGAAGGCTACCGACTACTTCACTCTGAGGCACAACCCTCGCCCACTCACGCCCTCCGAGGAGCTTCAGAATTGAAGAGGGGCACCTTTTTGTTTGCGCCAAACCAAGTGGGGTTTCCTTTGTAGAATGGTTTCCTCTATGTTTCCTCTATATGCCAGGTTTTGATTCTGTGTCTGACTGTAGTTTGTAAGGAAGAGAACTTGCGCGACTACTTGGATAGCACTCAGTACAAATCAAACTGGGCCATCTGTGATCTTACTCAGTTGGTGAGAACTGCCCGTGGACGCTCCGAGTGTCGAGACGGAAGCCTGATGACACTCACCTGCAACAGTGGCCGTTTGTACAGTAAGGACTTGAAAGGGGTGAACTGTTCAGACTTCAAAGTGAAAGTGTTTCCATTGGGTCCCCAAAAATCCTAAATCCTCAAGCCCTGAGAGGAGCATCAGCGATGCTTGACACCAGCAGAGCTGCTGGCGACCCATGCACTCCCAACCAGCAAGCACCAAGCTCGCCTCTCCGGATCTCCGCAGCTTCAGGTGAGCGCCTGCCATACTGCACAGGTTCGTATGGCTGGTAACGCCATGAATTGCCCGACCGTCGGAGTGTTTGTCTTGGCTGCCATTCTGGGTCTTTCGTGACTACTCAGAATGCTTGACTTTGAACTGCCGTTGGACCCGGCCAGAAGGATTGGAGTGAAAGACACCAATCAACACTCTGGATGTTAAAGGCTAAAGCTGGCTAATGCCAATGCCCCTCTTGGACCCCAATGGTTCATAGAGAACTGCTCTAATTCAGTCTGAAGCTTCCAACTGCTTCAACTGTGACCGCCAACCTCACAGCTAAATGAAAAGTGCTAGTCAGCTTGTCTTTTGGGGCTGCTACATTTTCCAGTGGACTGATTCGGACTGACTACTGGAACCTCATAGATTCCTTCTGAACTTCGTTCTATATTTGCCTGCCGGCCAGGCTTTTTGGAAAGTGTGATTTCCAGGTAGGAGGGAGCAGGTCTGGGCAACAATGGGCAAGCGGGCTGCCTCGGCCACTGCGACGCAGTCGGGGAAATCCGCCAAAGTTGAAATCAACCTTGGCCCATGGCGAGCACGGATGTGTCAGATCTCGAAGACTCTTACATTAAACTTCATGGAATTTGTTTGTAGGACATCCACTGTCATTAGTCTAATGTATCCAGAACACCCAAAACCCTGTCACCTATCCCGGACCAGGAACTATGATCCGTCCAAAGACGAACACCCGATGGCTTGGTTGCTTGATTTTGCAAAGGCAGGTCTTTATGAAGGGCTGAATGGCTGGTTGGGGGAAGTTCTGGGCGAGGCTTTGCCACAACCATCAACTGTGACGATGCCGGACCGTCCGACCAAAGTGAACCTAGCTGTTGAATTTAAGAACCAAGTACACGACTGCCCGATTGTTAGAATGCCTTCTGGCAGGAGAATTCTGTTCAGACCTGTATGCAAATCCCGCTGTTGTGCTTTGCAGCGAAGTTGCCTGCTGATGGGTTACCGATGCTGGGAGACTGGCTGTCAACGGCCCAGTCAATTTGGTCAATTGGCTATGAAAAGTTCCGGGAACTGGTCGAGTTCCGACCTTTGGGGACTACTACCGCCGGAGAACCGCTCAGCTGGGCCAGCCTTGAGGTGTCCAAAGGTTGTGGGCGAATGTCAGTGCTGTTGTACTCGGTCTTTGCCACGTACAACATGAAGAACACAATGGGCGACGCCGAGCTAGCTGACTTCAAAGAGTACCTCACCATATAAACGCATCGTCTTTGAAAATCTCATGTCCCAAAAATTTGGAAGGTGATGGTGGGGGTGCCACCGTCGCCTTTCACATATAGGGGGTCCCCCACTACCAGGCAGCTCAGGGAAATAGGGTTCCTGGCCCACGATGGTCCTACGCAATCTGTAAAATGTGGAAGGTGATGGTGGCACCCCCATCGTCGCCTTTCCAGGGATGGGGATAGCCCTCAGCCCCCACGCCCTCAGGAAATCCGAAGATGTCAAAGGTGATGGTGGCACCGCCATCGTCGCCTCGAAAAAATCTGGAACTTGAGATTCCCAAAGGTGATGCGTATTTGCTCGCAGGGATAGATTCCGCTGTTGGACTTGGGTGGGTGAGTGGGTTGGTTTCGCTTCCAAATTCAGACTCTCCGGGGGCCAGTCAGAGAGGAATCCACAACTAAGTCACCTAAAGGTTCAACCTGTTGCCTTTACTTCACAGGTAGTATGGAGGCAAGTTGCTGAGTGGTATACCTCTGCACAGCCTTAATCCACTAACCCTTCTCTACATAGCTGTGGTAAGCAAGCTCCTAAGGTGGCTGAAGACAGCCACTACGATAGCTTGTGTCTACATCAAGCATGAGAAGAGCGCCGACTACATTTGGCGCAGGATTCAGACGAGTGACCAACAAGCAGAGAGGCAGAAGAAGTCTGTGGTTCAGTTGTGCATCACGTTCCATGGTCGAGCCGATGCAATACGCCAGGACTAGACTCAAAAACATGCCAAACTGTGTTTGTGTCTGGTGTGTTGCTTGCTACTTAGTAGAGGGTCTGCCACCACTTGTCCAACAACCAGCACATGGAAGTTGTGGAAGCATGGAAAACCTTTGGTGCCCTCCCTTCTCCATCCCCAGCCACCATCATCATAGTTATACTAGTCATGAGCCATTACTGGTCTTGTTCACCCCAAACAAACTGGCTCGAAATCCACAGGAGAACCACGACTCTCTACCATCTGGCGAGGCTGGGTACCGCGCTGCATGGGACATGGCCATCAGCGAGTTCAATGGTTTTGGCCTTGCTGCGACAAGCACGAAGTACAGGATCGACAAGAACCAATCGAATCTCATGTTCGGGTTCAAGGCGTCTTCACAATCAGAGGGTCACGAGTGGAACAAACTGATATACAGTAAAATCTACAGGTTGAGGCGTTGTTTTCAATAAGGGTCCTCAAGTTGACATTGTTACGATACCTCCCCTGCCAGATGGGAGTCTGTGATCCTGTATGGAAGATGATATGTCAGCACCTTCATGCCAACCGTTTTGAGGCGTCAGGCTGGTGGTCAGCGTCAAAAAAGTAGAACAAACTGGTTTGGAAGCAATCATTTGCATCTAGAACGTTCATCATCATTGGACGCAGCTTCTCTCTAAATATTATGCAGTGAGTATCGACTCTAGCAACCTGGTTCAATTGTGACTTGAAACATGGTGGAAGTTTTTTGTTTTCCCCTGGCCAGCTTTTCATCGCGAGACCTTGCTGCTACCAAGATGGCTCCTCAACTCCAAGGCCAAAAACACAGAGGGCATATGGGTGGACATCATGACTGTGTCCCCTGCTAAGCAGCACCTGTTCATTCAGCGGGTCCTGTTCATGTACGACATCACCAAGCAATCTGCAGGGAAAGCCCAAGTCTTGCGGATCTCTTTGGATCGATGGATTGCTGAATGCGATATTGCTTGCCTCTGTGGCTTCATCCTTGAGGAGATGGAGCGATTTCGGGATCCCAAGAATTTGACCGTCTTCTCCAAGGAAACGCTAGGTGTTCTGATGAGCCGCTTCATCGAAGGGCCACTTAACATGAAAGTTTAAAGGGAGTATTTTGTCTTTGAGAGTGAACTGTTCCACTTCACACCGTTTTGTATAAAAAAGATTGATAAAAGGTGTTACTTGAGTACAGGGCGGGGATACCAACTGCTGAGTGTTGTATATCATTTCCTGCCCAGGGACTTTCATGAAGAACTTCGACCCATGGTGGAGGTCATGGACCCCACATTCAAGGCAGAGCAGACTTCCATGTGGGTTGAGAGTTTGCCCAAGGAAGCGATTAGCGAAACTGCGCTGGTGGAAGCTGATGAAAAAATCGATGCCATGACAGCTGCCCACAACAAACTGGAGTTTGAGAGTGACTCATTGGCTCTTGCAAGGGATGCAGCCCAATTGGCAAGGCTGCTCAGTGAAGAGTCTAAATCTGAGCGCGCTGCGCGCATCGCCAAAGTGTGCCACCTCCGCCAGGAGAACGCTCTGGGAAGCAGCCTGACATCCAAGTTCATGCGGGGCAAGTGTCACCATCGATCTGGACCGCTCTCAGATCTTCAGGATGGACTCAACAAGGACTACTATATGTTAGCATATTTGGGGAAATGACTACTATATGGACCAACCAACTATATATGTTAGCCAAATGTTAGCATCTTGTCTTTTTGTTTGTACCATTATACTGTAGTCAGTTCCTTTTCCATTGAACCCAAAACATGGTCGCCACAACACCTTGCCCTGAGTTTGTGACCCAGCTGAAAGATGACAATGGATGCTTGGTGATGTGGGTCGATTACATGAAATTGGGACGACTCACCACGCAAGATCTAAACTCCACCATTGAGCTTACCAAGAAGGCCTTGGCAGCAATGCCAGAGCGCTCGTGCTGCTTTGCGATTTCCCCTCAGTTGACCTCAGAGCGCCGGAGTGGACTTCGAGCTGAGTGGAGGATATGTGATGATTACAAAAGTCTGTAGGCTCCACATATGTCCAGGTTGCACACTGTGATAAGTCCACTGTGTTGGGGATAGGGCAAAATGACTTCCCTGTCCAAACTTAAAACCCGTTGCACCAGGAGGGTGGAGGACAAGGCAGAGGCAAAGGGGCTGCACACTGAGACCATTTCATTACACTGCGAGAAGGCCCCTGCTACGAAGAAGACTCGCTTGGCCTTTGGAGGGTGGCTCATGTTCTTCAACAATGGGTCTGTGGAGTCCAATGTGTTCGCACAGTCGAATCTGCTGATGGAGAGGCTAGGCCACCATTCAAATGTCCTTCATGAATTGTATAATATATATCCTTTAGAGTTCATTGTGTGTTGTAATATAAAATATATATAACATATATTATATAATATATGACAAGTTTTTTTCTACCAGTATTCAAATGCCCTTTAGAGTTCACACATGCCTGAAGGACAACACGAGAGTTGATTCCGTGGCTGCCCGAATCCCAGTACGTCGTTCCCGCTCAGAGCGATGCAGTTCCACATGCCAGCGAAGGTGTAAGGCCTGGCCAACTGCCTGGCCAAGCAGTGAATTGTGAGGGCTGCATCCCCCCATATAATGTTGAAAAACCGTTATATTTAGAAACTTATGGGTCCCTGATCAGGTCCCTCAGCGATGTTCAAGAGTGCGCCCAGCTTCTTTGTGGAGAAACCACGCCAGAGATGGTGCTGACCGCTTTGATGGAGAACTCCGAGGTTGGAGGGCTGCTAGGGGTCTGCAACCTAACTCCCTACGATGGTCACCTGGAGATCTCTCTCCTCAAGCGGGCCGCGCAGAATCCTGGGCACAACATCAGAAGCTTGAGTTTATCCACGGATCTCGCAGTGAGCCAGTATTGCGAGAAGACTTGTGCACTCTATGTCTTTGAGGACTGGTTTAATGATGCCAAATGGGCAATGGTTTGAAATGCGAAACTAACTCAAAAACAAAACCTATAGTGTGGGGCTCTCTCGATCACTCTCCGAAGCAACCAGCATTTGGTCCATGATTTCTTGTTTCAGGACTGGAAGCATGGGGGCAAGTTGATGGGTAACGATGTGCGCCCATACGACCCTCGTCCACCGCCTGCATCTTCTTTGGACCCTGCCAGCTACCCATTAAAGCTAGCATCGCTACAAGTGGACCCCAAGCAGAAGGGAGTCAAGAAGTATCGCATCGAGCTGCCAAATGACATCAGGGCCAAGCACCTGGAAGACCCCGTGAATGGGGGCACATGGCGTAATCTCGTGCTTGATTTCGATCGAAAGTTTCCTGTTACCATTAAGTCCGTTTTACTTATGGTTAGTTGGTGGGTCCTAGTTGGTTGGTTGGAAAAGAATAAGTCCAGCCAAAAGGAACCACCTGAGACAATTGTGCTCTCCATTTCCCAAAACAAGTCTTCAATGTAGTAGGCATATGATATGGGCAATCGCATTGAGGCTGATGATATTTCCAACAAATCCACAAAATAACAAAACCAGTCCACCCTCTGCTGCAACCAGGTTTTGCCAGGGCATTTCGCCAGCTGCACTTGAGTCCCAAATCGTGCCTGTGGAAGAAGAGCCTGCGCCTCCCAAATTCACCTCGGAACCCACGACGCTTGCAGAATTGCAAGATATGTACGTCATCGAAAACAAAGTTCCAGGACGACAGCCTGGGTCTACACTTATGATCACGGCTGCTCAAAGGCGAGATGGATCAAAACATGAGATGGTGGAGAACCAGCCGTTCAAGATGTGGCTGGTTTCTCACCTCAAATCTTCCCGAAGGCAAGCTTTCACCGGTCTTAGTTCACTGTACTTCCTGTAGCTGAGTTCTTCAGACTCTAACTGGAGGTGCTGGGATTTGTGTGACTCGAAGCCCTCTTTACAAATTGTTTATGGCGCAATGTCAATAGGGATGACTCAACTTTCAGATCTTTTAAGTGTTTTGAAGAGGGTAGGGGCCAAGCTCAAAATACCATCAACCTACTTGTCGGTACTCCTACCTGGCCATATGCCTTCAGTCAAGACTACCCACCTCATCTCCTCTCACCACCCTTTAGTGTTTTATGTGGATCACCTTTCACATCACCCGTCTATTTCATCCCCACTAAACTCTCCTTCCCTCATATCATCTCACTTCTTATCCCGATTGCCTCACTCCTCAAAACTAAAGAGTTCACACACTCCACCTCGCAACCCAGGTTGCGCACCAGGAGATGACGATCGGAGTTGATGAATTCCAGCTCGCTCATGGTTCCTCGCGGTGGCTCAAAGCAGAGCGCTACCAGAAGATGGTGCGAGAATCGGCAGGTTGGGAGAGTTAAACTTTTGGAAAGTAGCCACCAAATTGGACGTTGCACAAAGAATGTCACTAGATGTAGGCTTCCTTTTTGACAATTGTTACTTATAGGGCGGTCTGCGGGCTCAAGTCACAGGAGTGGCAAGGGATTAGGTCAGTTCACAGTCAAGCGATGCAAAGCCTCAGCGAAGTGTTAGCTAGGCATGGGCTCAACCAGGACTGGTCAGTCAACTCTTTCATCTTCTAGCCACAGGGTTTAAGACTTGGTCGCTGTTGTGTGTGTGTGTGTGTTTGTGCGTGTGGAAGGACTTAGAGGGAATGCTGATGGACAGCCCTGGGGCGGCTGAGACCCCGAGAGGACAAATCGTTTGTGTCTCAGACCTCCATCACACAAGCGTGAAAGTATACTGTATATTATGTAGTATGAATATTGAATGTCTTTTGGCCTGTTTTTCTTAAACTTTCCATGTGGGTCTGAGAGAGTCTTTTTTGCGGGGTGTCTGTGAGGTTGTGAATCGAAGCCCAGTCGACAATGAGTCCGTGCCCAAAGGTCCTCGTCGTGCAGCCAGTGCACAACACTTGCCAATGCAAACCTCACATCCCAGCGGGCAAAGCAACAAAACAAAAATGAGTAGTGAGGAGCAGGCTGCTTTGAGAGGTGAGGTGAGTCAGGCCATGGCAGGCCTTGCCACTGAAAGGAAACAAGAAAGGAAACAAGAACGCAACAAGAACAGTCTCAACGGCGAACGAGGCAAGAAAATTGCGCAGGCACTCAAAGCAAGGTTGGCAGACCCTGCACCAGAGAAGCCAGGCAAGCCAGGTAAGGCCAAAGCAACAGCAAAGGCCAAAGCAACAGCAAAGGCCAAAGGTCAAGCAAAAAGGAAGCCTGCAAAACGATCAGCAAAGGAACCAGAGGAACAAGAGACTGAACAAGAGGAACCGGAGGAGGTAGAGGAACTAGGGGAGGATGAAGAGGAACGTGAGATTCCACCATGACAACCAAGGAAGCGGACACGCACAGCAGCAGCAGCAAAGCAGAAGGCAAAAGCAGCTGCAAAAAAACATGCGAAGAACGCCAAGGCCAAGGCCTGTAGCTCTTACATGTGTTTGTTTGTCATTCAGCTTTGTCTTCTTGTCTTCATGTGTCCCCTAACACACGTTATATAGCATCCGCACATACCTCAGTCCGCGGCGGATGCCAAAAAGAAGGATGCCAAATCCGACGAGGAGGCCTGAGCAGTGAGACAAGAGTCTGAGTCAATGCAATTCATAGATTGGTATTAGTTGTAAACCCGGACCCTTTCCTACTCTGAAACAATGGGTTCTGGGATGTTCTGGGTAGGTCTTGGACCCTGAAGAGCTGGATAGCGATGAAGAGCTGGAATCAGCCGAAAGCCAAGAGACTCGCATTTTTGGGGATTTCGCTGAACGTCCCAAAAAGGCGAAGCAGGAGAAACCTCCTGAATCTGGAGCAGCCACCCTTCGCCAAATGTATTGGCAAGTGGTTCACGAGGAGCAAAAGAGGTTGCAAAAGGCTCACCCGGATATGTCTGCCAAGGAGGTGTTGAAACAAGCTCGGGCATCGTGGACTAGATGCAATTAAGAGACCTTTGGGTGGTTTCTGTTTCATATACTATATTATATAGTCTACTGTATAGTCTATAAATATCATATAATATCAGGTATCTTTTATGGGTCCCAGTCAGATTAAGGGGAATCTTGGAAGAGAACACATGTCCGGGGCCTAGGTGGCAGACTCACCCAGCCCGCACAAAATTCATGAAGAATCTCAGCCACTCGGAGCTCAGCCGTCGACGCATGGTGCCCAAGAAGAAGGCATCAAAGTGATTTGCAATCAATGGCCTTGGCCATCGATCTTTTTGTGGGGCGAAGCCCACTGACTGTCTGTCCATTCATGCCCTCAAACGATGTTTTGGAGGGTTTGGGACGAATGTGGTAGGCATGAAGTGGCCCTGAATAGGGATTCTAGCAGTCAGCCAAAGGGGTCGCAACGGAATACTCTGTGTGGCCCAGGGCAACACGTGCAGTCCAAAAAGCGAGAAACATGCCAAAGTTGGTATATTAGTATGTCATGTGTGGTCCATTGCAACTCTCTACCAAGGCATGCTTCACATGTCAGTTGGTGCCTGCTTGCAGGGGATGCCGCCTTTGCCTATACCATTCCTTGCAAATGGACATCAGACCAAAACAAGGTTATTTTGGAAATCCAGAGCGAAACGAGCAAGGCATGTCAGGATAGCGAACCTACCACTATCCAGTCATTACTCCATGGAATGGAAGAGGAAGGCGTGGTGGATTGCGGGCTGAACGGCCATACGTGTGCTCGCCCAGATTCAGCAACCGATCGCCCCTCGACAACCCAAACACTTTGTAGAATGAATCAGAAACAAATGATACACTCAGACTCAAACAACCAAGATTTCTTGTCAACCAGAATCAGCCCCACTCCTAGGTGGGGACAACGACTTCTTCGTGATCAAAGCGACCCCGAATATTCCGCAGTTCCAATACACCCCAGGGTGTGGAAATATGAAGTTTTCAACGATCGCGAGTGTATTCACCAAGGAGGTGCGAGTGTATCACCACCCTACCATATCCTACCATCATATGTGTGACTTCTCAGCGCTACCAGGTGCTTGATCGAAGCCCGGAACTGGTTCGAGTGTGGCGCGTCGCCTTCTTGAAAG